TTCGATGCTGAGTAAAGCCTTATTTCAAAAGAGGTGTTTGGAGGTTCAAGTCACTAATGGGTAAGATTTTCGGGCTCCAACGAAGGTGAAGGCACTAAAACGTTAGCCTGAATGAAAAAGCGTTACCAATCTTATTGGCCCGGAAGACAGACCCAAATTACATATTCATGGATAATCGAGCTTAGAGTACACCTATCAAACAAAAGTACACTATTGTTGATTGAAATTAGTGACCGACATTATTATTCTTACTTATAAATGAAGCGTTCTTCGTAGATCTTGGCAATTCTAGTAAATACAGTTGATTAAAGTACAGTGAATTTAAGCGAAAGGACTTATAGTGGGGCTGATTTTGAAAAAATTAGGAGCTTTCAAAGTAAAAGCTTGCTTTGAGTAATTTAACACAGCCGAGCGAAGCCGGGTAGGTCAACTGGTTCTCTATAACCCCAATAAGCCATACGCTTTTTCGGAGTCACCTGACTCTCTACTGTCTTTGTCCCGACTGTGTAATCAACAGTGACAATGATCAAAACAAAGATGTACGCTGTAATGCGGTAATGGCTTTTTGAACTTTCATTACTTCAATGTCTCATGTTCCTAACAGAAGTACACCTGATGAGACAATCAGCATCACTGACTTTCTCATTGGTTCTGTCGCGATGAATAACTTTAGAAAAAGTTTGGTACCTTTAGCATCGAGGATCACGCAAAGAACTGAAAAACTCGGCTCAAAAGATAGCGTGCATACAATCGTTTACGAAACTAGAAGATATACCAAAGGCTTTGTAGCGTGGGCACCGTGAAGCCGTGTTTTTTAATAAAAGATATTGAGGCTTCAATTTGAGCTTCCAAATGTAGTGCATTTGAGTCGGTCAACAGCTTGAAAAGGCCAGACGTTAATCTTCAACTTCAATTTCCTTTTTCTGGCTTTGCGATTCACTTTAGTAACAGTTCGTCTATGATTACTCCTTTAGGTTTGCAGTGCTTTATTTTTTACTTTGAACCGCGTTGGCGGCACTGTAAAGGTGATGCCAATCAAAAATGCTTAGCAGAAACAATTTAGAATGATTAGTGTCTGTGAAATTTTGCGAATTTTTTCAGGTTAAAGTGTGGGCCCAGGACTTCGGTCAGCGCCCTGGTTTGTCTTGGATAGCCATCACTCCGTCTTTAACAAGTACTTCGCAGTTCAAGAAACCGAGCGAAGCCCCGGTACGTACTCCTCCGACCAGCTCATCGTCTCTTTCAAGTACTTCGCAACCCAACGAACCGAGTGAAATTCCGGCACGTACTTCTCCGACCAGCTCGTCATGTAAATTGTTCCTGTCTTCCATATATTTTCTGTTGCAGATTTAATAAACATTTAGACTTACATGGGCTTGTAATGGCTCTATTATTTTTTGAAGCAGATGTAAGTTCTGGCCTCCCAAAGACTTCTACGAGAGGACAACAACACGATCTGACAGCTTCAGTCTACGCTTCAGCACTCCTTGTCGCTTCCATCATAGCTCACATTTCTGCTTGAAAACAGTACAAAGGACATGCACTTGTCTCCTCACACTTAAAGGCAGTGTCCCGGCAGATTTGAGGTTGGTGA